GCCCAGGGTGTGGCGGAGAGACGATCTGGGCGGGCTTATCTTCCCAGCCCCCCCCCCGAGGCTGACCGGGGGCTTCCCACGCTGCCAGCCCCGTCTGAGAACCGTGGGAAGAGTGGGACTACAGGCCCCAGGGTGCTTCGCGTCAAGGTAAGCAAATAGCACGTCCCAGGGGGAAGCCACGTCAGACAGAGATGACTGGCCTGCCCTCACTATGCCGGGCTTGTCCGACTCCTCCCTAGAAAATGGAGGCAGCTTTGTTGTGGGCGCCCAGCCTGGTGTGATGAGCGGGGGCTAGGTGGGCGAGGAATAGTCGGGCTTCGCCCCGCAAGTGGGATTTTTCTGGGGGTGACTCACGGAGGGCGCAGGGTGGGCCGTTCCGGCGTGTTTCAGCGTGTTTCAGATGCCTCCGCGCAGTTCCTCCGCTGGCTCTCCCGGCCTTTGCCGTGTGGGCTGCCAATATTGTTCCCGCAGCCGGGCCTGGGTACCCCCAGGAGTCCTTCTCCGTGTCGGCCCCAAAACCTCGAACCCGCTGCCGCTTATTTGTCGATGTAGGATCGTTGTTGAAAGATTTATTCGTCCTTTGTTGCTCTCAGAAATGCAGTCAATACTCTGGTATCACAGCTCACAGCTCTCAGGATCGCGCCGTTTCCTGACACGGGCGCTCCATACCCGTCGCCATTTTTTCTCAGCACTTTCATTTTTAAATTGGGAAACATAACACGTGTGTGGAAAAATGCATAAACAATAAATATACAGTCTAATGAATATTACAAAGCCCACAACAGTGTAACCATCACCCATACCAAGAAATAGATTTGTGGAATTCCAAGCCATTCCCTACCTCTTCCCAGTCTTAACTCCGTCCCCATAGGGCTCCCTCTGTCTTAGATGCAAGTAGCCATTATGGTAACCAATTTCTTGCTTTTCTTTACAGTTTTAACACCCAAATATGTATTCTTTTTTCCTGTTTTTGAAAAATAAAAATGGAAGTACACAGTACACATTCTTTTTGTGAGTGGTTTCTTTTTCTTAACATTATGTTTTTAGGATTCATCCATATTGTTGTATGTAGCATGTCCCTTTTTCCAAACTGCTGTATTAAGTTACTGTTCCTAAAGTAAAACACGAGAATTACCATTGCTCTGCTCCTGGGCAACACTTATGATTGTCATCTTTTTAATTTTAGCCATTTTGGCGGGTGGTGTAGTATTCTCTTGTTGTGGTTTGAATTTCCCTTTTTTCTAATGAGGTTGACACTTTTTCATGTGTTTACTTATTATTTGGATTTCTTCTTTAGTGATAGCCTGTTCCAATCTTTTTCTCATGATTGTAGTTCCTCACAAGATACAAGATCTTTATTGGTTACACATGCTGTAATTTTCTTACTTGATTCTGAGGCTTGCCTTTTAACTCCCTTAATGATGTAATTTGACAAAACCAAGTGTTAATGTTAATGTAGTCAAATTTATCCATTTTTTCCTATTATTGTTAGTACTTTTTGGATTAGTTTAAATATTCTATTTCCTTTCCTTGAGGTTATGGATATATGCTCCTCTATTATCTTTAAAAACAATAAAAGCTTCATTGTTTTCCCTTTCAAATTTATGTCTAGTACCTATCTGGAATTGATTTTTGTGTGTAGAGTCCAATTTAATTTTTTTTCAAATGGTAATCTATTAGCTTCAGCACCAAATAATTATTAAAAACTGTTCTTTAGGCATTGCTCTGCATTACCATCATGACAACATAAATAAAATTCCCATATATGAAATTTTGGGCTCTCTATTCTGTTCTATTGTTATATTTGCCTATCTTTGACCCAATAGCATACTGCCTTAATTACTACAGCTTTATAATAGAGCTTGATATATGATAGCACAAGTATTCCTCTTCCTCATCTTTCTCTTCTTTCTCCTCTTCCTAATGAATGCTTGTCTTTGCTTTTCCATAAAATCTTAAATTAGCTTGTCATGTTTCTCACACACAAATCTATTGAGATTTTGTCTCAAATTGCGCTAGATCTATATATAGATTTGGAGAGACTTGACATCTTTCAGTACTGAATCTTCCAATCTATGAACATGTTATATCTCTTATTTACTTAGGTCTTCTTTGACGTCTTTCAATGTTTTCTCTATGCAGGTTTTGCACTGCTTTGATTTCTTCCTAGGTAGTTGATATTTGTTTGGAGCTACTGTAAATGGTATCTTTTTAAAAAATTAATTTTCTTTTTTCCTGGTATGTAAAAAGAAATTCTGATTTTCAAAAACATGATTTTTATATCTATTAACCTTGTTAAAATCTTTTATTAATTGTAACGGTTTATTTGTAGATTCTTTTGGTTTTGCCACACAATTTATATCACCTGTGAAGAAACAACAATTTTGTTCTTCCTATTTAATCTTTAGTTCTTTTATTTTTCTTGCCTTACTCCACTGGCGAAGGCCCTTGAAAGGCAATAATGAGCATTCTGGTCTGTAGCTCACTTAGTGACTACCAAACTCTCCCGCCTCAAGATAACAGCATAGGGAGGGTTGGTTCCCAGCTGAAGGGTGGGGAGTACGACGCCCACACCCTCCTTTCGGCGCCAGCAGGAGTTAAGGCAGAGGGAACATCTCCTCGCAAGCTTATCTTCCAATGCGGAAGGAGTCGTCCGCCCCTCTCTGTTGCCGCGCAACGGCGGCGTCCTGACCCGGAGTAGGTGCCGGGCGGCTGGAAGCACGTGCCTCCTGCCTCATTCCGGGACTACAATCCCCACAATGCCGCGCGCCGCGGGCGGTGGGCCCCTGGAGTGGGGGAAGGGCCGAGCCGGGAGGCGGAGCGGAAGCTGAGTGCGAGGGACTAGCGGAGTGGGATCACCGCAGGCTGGGGACCAACCTCGTCCTGACTTCCAACCCCCGGCCTGTCTCCATCTCGACCTGGAGGCTGCTGCGCGAGTGCGGGACGCCGCTGACACCCGCTAACCGGCTTTCGCCTCGCCGTCCCGACTCAGGAGCCCAGTGGCGGCGGCGACCGTAACGAGAAGCCCAGAGGCAAGGTAATGGGGAGGGGGCGAGAGAGAAGCGGGGGTGGTGGGGTCTCAGCCGGCCCGGCGCGCTCCTCTCGCGGAGCCCCTCGGGCCCGGGCGGCCGCCCCTCCCCCG